CGGTTCCAAGCGGCACAGCAGCACGGCGGTTAACGCGGGTGGCGAAAATAGCCGATGTCCTCCTTCAGAAATCGTCAGAAGCATTTGCCTTACGAAAGGAAACAACTGCTTCCCCTCCTTGTCGAGGCTGTAGATAGGAAAACCTGTCAACGCTCTGCCTGACGTGTTCTTCTGTCTCAGTCAAAGCTGAGAGTTAATAAAGTTAATCAGACTTTATTAAAATACTTTTAAAACGCGGGTGGCGAAAATAGCCGATGTCCTCCTTCAGAAATCGTCAGAAGCATTTGCCTTACGAAAGGAAACAACTGCTTCCCCTCCTTGTCGAGGCTGTAGATAGGAAAACCTGTCAACGCTCTGCCTGACGTGTTCTTCTGTCTCAGTCAAAGCTGAGAGTTAATAAAGTTAATCAGACTTTATTAAAATACTTTTAAAAGTCAGGCTAGATAGGGCTTTGAGCAGCCTGGTCTAGTGGAAGGTGTCCCTGCCCATGGCAGGGGGGTTGGAACTAGATGATCTTTAAGGTCCCTTCCAATTCTAACCTTTCTATGATTTCACCGTCTTTGGTTTTGGTAGTCCCTGCCCTCTTTTTCCATCCTGTCTATGAAAGACTTCCCTGAATTCCCCTTAGTTCTCTGTGCTGCGGGCTGGCAAGAGTGCACATTGGACCCATGGTTGCAAAACGTGCTCTTAAATCCTCCGATACATGTATTTTTCTCTGTGCAAAATAGCTGTGGGCTGTTGGAGTTCTGTTTGCTGGTCTAAATTTTGTCAAACAACTGTTCTTTGTGACTTTTTTTTTTTTAAGATCAAAGCATATGTGATTGTCTCCTTGCTATGTTACATTTGTTAAGTGCAGCCAGATGGCAGTGAAACCATTGCTACACATCACTGTCCAAATGTGAAAAATATTTTGAAGAATGCCCCAATTTGGGGTTTCTTTTATTGCTGTTCAGCACTTTCAGTCTTAATAGTATACTTAATAGTATTATCTTTGAATGAGAATGTGTATGCATCAGACTTACGTGAAAAAGCTGCTTAGAATATTTTATGACTTCTGATATAAGCCATCCACAAATTGAAGTTTATAAGAATTTAAGTTCTATCAAATGAATATCTAATTATAAATGGTTATTTATACAAGCAGAACTTTATAGACGTTACAACTGCATTATAATGTAGAAAAGGACTCATTTTATGAATGGCCTGGCTCGGAGAGGTTCTACACTATGTGTCTAAGGTAGCCTGAAAGTCCACAAATAATAGATAGGAGAACTCATCCAAACATATTATCAAGGAGAAAGGTCTCAAACTAGTGACACTTTTTTTCCCCCCAGATCCTTATGAGGAAAAAAATCAACTACACTTGAAGTCTGGGCAAGTTTGCCTTGGTCCTGGGAATGTGCTGTTTGCTCTGTAGATAGTCATTTGGTCAACACTCTTGCATTCTTGTTTGCTGATTAGTGCTGCTCTCCATTGGGCATTTCCTCCTGACTTGGAAAAACAATGGTGAGATAAACTGACATTTTCTGCCCTTTACCCAGATTGAGAGTAGGAGCACAGGCTTATTTGTTGTACACAGAAAGAAACAAAGAGTTTGTTTACGGATAATAATCCGTAAAATTCTCCCCACTGAAGTTTTGGTGTTAGAATGAGCATTTTTATTAGAAGAAAACTGTGGCTTTAAAAGAGAGATTCCCCACCCCAGTCTCACTTAGAACAGCTGTCTCTTTCACAGTGATTAAGGTTTGTAATTTAAAAGGCTTCTGTGAGGGTGTTTGTTTATAATAAGCTCTATTTTTGATTGCCTGTTTTGCTGTACAGTGTGGGGGGCTGTGGAATTTTGCCATTGATTTTCACTCTGTTCTAGAACAACCTTAGTGCTTTGTTTTGTTTGAAACTTAATTTCTTCTGGTGAAATTCCAGCAATGGCGTGATTGTGGGTTATTGCTCTTTTTATTTGTGGAGAATGTAAGCTAAAATTTGCTATATCTGTTTCACTACATTTTCCATTTTTTTTTCTAGCAGAGTCAAGGCCAGTGCAAGATGTTCCCTCAGCAGTGCTGACCATGCAGCCTCGATGGGCTACGCACCTGCCACGGGGCTGTGCCAACAAGGTACCAGAACGGATAGATGTTTAAACAGTGGTCTCATGTATGCTGAACTGCACTGTTACAAGCCCGTGATTTTCCTCACCTGTAACTTGATGACCGAGTCACTCATTTGGCAAACAGCTGCAGCACTTTGAGGGTTTATTGCCCTTCTGACAAAAGTTACAATGGGGTAGCAGGGGAGAGAGAGCAGGACCTTTGAGTGATGTTCAGTCACTTCCTTGAAGTCCAATGACAGTCAAACTACCTGAGGCAGCAGTTTGAAGGAGACCACTGAACTTCAAGTTGAAAAGGCTGAGAGTTGCTCAAATTCTGTTCTCCCAGCTTGGCTGATAAGTCAGCCAGAGGGGCGGTGACAAACAGGTATGGGAGTTAAATTAGTAATAGCTAAAACTCTGCAGCTCTTTGTCCCATATCTACAACTTCAGTGCTAATTCATGTTACCTGTTGCCATGTCTGTTACTTGTAAACTACTAATCAGTTGCTGAAACTGCTTTTTCCTTAAAGTAGATCTCGAAATACCATGTGGAATCATAGAGAGGGAAAAGATGAAGAATGTCCAGATTTTCTGAGAATGAAGGGCAGCCCATCATATTTTGCCTAGCCAGGAAGGCTTTTGGTAGAACTTTTAAAAGATGTAATAACAATTGCAGATGTTTAAGATTGGTGAAATTTACTATGGAAGTGGCTGGAGCTTTGTACTTTGTGATTATGATGATTAAGTGGAGAACTCCTTCGGGTGTGAAGTACGATAGTGCCATGCACTTTGTACAATGTGGCTTCAGCAGTTGCAGCTGTTTATCCTCAGAATGTGATGCCTTTTTGGTTAGGTAGCTTTTCTACTTGTACTATTGGGTTGCTGATTTAAAATTAAAATTAACAAACAAACAAACCACGCCCCGAAACTAATCTCTGGGGTCCTCTCCAGGGACCATAAATCCAGTGAAAGGCACGTTGGAAGAATGCTATTCTGGAGCGCTAGGTGGGGGCACCTATTAATGTTCCTAAGTACTGTGCCCTAGGGGTACGTCATCAAGATGGGCAACTTGCCAGCAGCTGTAAAAAGATTTAAGGAAAATGTGTTCTCAGAACTACAATGAAATACTTTCTGTGATACCTGTTGGAGCTCCACAAACATTAGGAGGGAAAGGTAAGATTCACTGATGAGAGGACTGGTAGTGGATCAATTTAACAGGCCCTTAGGCACAAGCTTAGCTGTGCAGGATGCCTAGACTTTTGAAGAAGACTCAAAATACTCTTTGTACTTGCTTCATAGCAATGGTATTTTCACACTTTAATGTCCCTGGTCACCTTATCTATGCTTGATTTTGTCGTCACTGCTCAAATCAACTGTAGCTTATATAAACCTGCAGAGTTGGTAGTGTGATATAAGCTCAAAATGTGCTAGACAGCTTTAGAGCCGTGTTTTTTCTAGAGATGTCAAACTTGTAATTAGAATTCAGTTACTAACACGGTGATTAAAATTCAGCAGTTGTTTTATGCATAACGTATGTAAAAGAGGAAGTGTCTGTTACAGAGTGGGAAAAGAGGTAGGTGGACTAACAAAATTTTGCAACTGAAGTTGCAATTTAAGAGAGTCCATAATTACTATGAGAAATCATGGTGAGGAACAAAAAATAGAAGCTCCTGGGAAACTGCTGTGTTGAAATTACTTGTGAATTTGTGGAAGTAACACTTTCAGGTAGTTAAGCACTGTTGCCTCTGGAGTTTGTGCTGCTCGTTATAAATCCCATAACATTGTTGTGTGGGTACGTCTTCTAATTAATCACTGTAGTCTAAGCAAGGAGTTTTACAGTGACATGTATGTTAAGTACTTAGTTTTTTTTATGGCTGTTCATTTAGAAACACACCTCTTGGGATTAATTGTTGCAACGCCCACAATGATGTGTTTGTGAGAGAGGAGTGCAAATGGTATCGAAAGCGCCACTGGTGGTTCATGTTGTGCACCTTCTCTTTTTGGATCTGCTTAGGTCTCCCAAATTAGTTTGGGTCCATATTCCCTGTGGATTGAGAATTACAGCACTTGAGAATATTTAGGAAACAATTCCTGCTCAGTTACATAACTGAGGGGCATGATGCAGGTACGTATTAGCCCCAGGTCCTTCCATAGAATGTGGTAAGAAACACATTTACAGAAGGCCCAAGTGGAGCCTCCCTAAAAGCTCTTTTTCTTTCCATCAACTGTTTGGGTACCACATGCACAGTATACCTGTTTGCTGTCTGAAGCAAGGAGGAAAGGGTGGTGGCCATTGCAATTCTGCAAAAGTGGAAGGACCTGACAGCATGTATCGCTGCAAAGGATGAGAATAATCTTCTTGTTTTGCAGGTGCAGAATGTGAGGTTTGGTTTGCTTAGAGCTGTGCAGGAAGCCTAGTATATCTGGGAAACTCTTATATCTGTGTCATGCAGTTAAACTGCAAAATGATCCTTCAACCTGGTTGTAAGTGTGTCAGAGGAGCAAAGAAAGAACATTATGAGAAAATATCAGTATTTCATATTCTGTCTTTAATAGATAGAGAAAACAAAACATGGATTATGTGGCTACATTACCGTGTTCTGCTGAATTGCTGCTGTTGAACTTGGAAAAATAAGAATATAAAATATTTGTCATTTTTGGAGATGGAGTGCTAGATCCTCCGCAAGTTAAATTCTAATAATTCAGGCACAGATGGAATCTGAGGCTGACTTTAAAATAAACATTTAGTGAAATTCAGCATCCCCTTGCTTTCCTGGGGCTTAAATTTCAGTTAATCTCTGCAAAGGAGTTGCAGAACTGCAGTAATTAAATTAGCTGTGCTCCTTAATGGTCTTTAATTTAAATAATGCTTACACATATGATATAGCTTTCCCCATTTAAAAGAGAAGTTGCTTTTATTGACAGCTGAATCAATAAAGTACTATAGTGTTGCAGAATAGAAAATAGAAAAATTACACAACTTAATGGGTTTCCTTTATTTCAAGTTGGTGTATGATGAATATTATTTAGAAAGACTAAAAGTGAGAGAAATATTTTATATAAATCAAAAAATAAGGCATTCAACTCAGCTAATGGAGTTTATTTTTTTTCTGATCACACAAATCACTGTACATATTATCCCAAAGTATAATGTCTGATTGTATTAACCTGTAATATTCATAGCAAAAATTGTCAAAATATTTAATATTTCGCTAATTTCTTTGTGAAATTTACTTACCACACATAATTATTGCAATCATACATTTCATTCTATGTCAGAGCTTGAACACTCATTAACAAGTCTTGTCATATAGAATCCATATTTTTATATATGTAATGTTATACACGTAACTGTTTGTCAGTTAATTAGAAGCATTTGAATTAATATAAATTAGCAGAATAATTTAGGTAAAAGCATCTACTGAGGGCATAGGTCCTAATTTGGCAATATTATAATTAAACAGTATCACAGATATTCTACTTGCATTATATGAGTGTTTGACTTTGACCTGATGGATACCATACAGGTGTTTTTTCTCTCTCCCAAGCTGGTGCATTTGATTTTAATCCCTCTGTGTGACTGTTAGCAACTATGACAGTGCAATTTGAAAGAAGCATTTATTCATAGATTTAATGCTTTTTGTATTGTAGCAGTTAATTTTGGCTTTCTAGGATAAATATCAAAAGCATTTCTGATACGTTATAAAATTAGTGGAATTTCTTCTTTGGGTGTTCAAAAAATTTGCTGTCTTACGTGAGAGATATATATATGTGTATATATATGTAGATTTTCCTTTTGCCTGTACTGGAGTGTGACACCAGCAGGGACCACTTACATTTTTTTGTCTAATTCTTCACTGTTGTTTTGAATTAAAAAAAAAAAAAATCTGTCAATTACTAAATTTTAGATCTGTATTAGATAAATGTGTCTTTAATAAATCACTGCCATTAAAAATGTAGGTGTTGAAATCAAGCAAGGGATATTCTAGGCACTAATTTTTTTCTACGAGTAGAAAGTCAGTACATTTTTGTGGTTGCCCCTGACCATTAAGACTGGAGGAAGGTTCTTGGAGAGAATTTCTAGCCAAGCCATATACAGGTAATCGGACACTACTCCTTTTCTTGCCACTGGGAGGCTCCTATTTCGACAGAGAGAAAAATAAAATTATCATTATGAGGACAGGGTAGCCTTGATAACATGCATCTCACTAAATATTAGGTAGAAAACATCAGCTGTTCATATACAACTCTTCATAATTAGACTACGTGATTGTTTTAATCTTATAACGCACAAAGCTTTATAATCTTTATAAGATGATAAAGATTAACCTTAATATTAGGCCTTAATCTTGCAAACTCTTGCTCGCCTGGTTAGTACCATTAACATGGCTAGTTGTACTGGACATGGACTACTTGTGAATGTAACCTTAAACTGGTAAAGAAGCATTTTTGGGGTCACAAAACCCACACATAATGTGATTTTTAAAAAGGATGAAAGTACAGTACATGCACAGTTTTGCAGTCCATCAGCTTATTTTCTGATCTGTACTTACTGTAAGATGGGAGTTTTAAAGTATGGGTCAATTTGTGCTAAACGCAGTAGTGTGATCACCTCTTTTTTGGAAACTGAATTAATACAGCTAAAGAGGTTTATCTATGCTAACTAAAAATTGATTCTGAAAATGGCTGCCTTTTTTTTTTGTTGTTAATCTTATTGGTGGCCTCTTTTTCTTTCTGCAATTGCATCTTCCTTTTTCAGTTTCACATAGTTCCAAGTAGATCTTGGCTAACAATTCCATTTATTGTGTGCAAAGCAAAATAATCCTTTCTCTAGCTTTGAGTTGTTAATAATTGGGGAAAAAGAAAGGAAAATACGTATTTTCTGCAGATTAGTAACACTCAACATGTAGGTTTGGATGTGAAGATTATCTTTTTAACACATTTTCATGAGTAGAGCTTTGTTTTAAGATATGGAGAACTACTAGGAAAGGTTCATATTCACTATAGTCCCAGACAACCATCAGTCCAGATGCAAGTCCTTCAAAAGGTACTTAAAAGATTATTTTTGCTCTCAATGAGTTAACACAAGCGTTCCTGGTGCTCTAGTCCAGAATCCCTTTACACATTAGATTATTCTCTAAGTTAGAACCAAAATCTTGCAACTCACAGGACAATGAGGTTAGCTGCCCTGGAATGCTCTTGTAAGAGTTCATTCAGACGGACTTGGCGGTAACTCTGATTAAAACAAAACAGGGAAAAAGAAAAAAAAAAAATCAGTTAGGTCAATGATCCTCAGTTCTGGTGCGTTACGGATTTCCACACTACCCATTGCCCACAAGGTTTTCTGCTGTTGCTTTGGCAGCATTGAAAGCCAGGTCTGCTCTGTGGTTCAGAGCGACAGAGATTGCAAAATACGAGGATAAGCCATGCTTCTTGATTAGTATAGTGGGGGCCAGAGTTGTTCACCACTGTGTAAGATTTCCTGGGGATGGGGATTATTTTTGTACTGACACAGTACCAGAGCTGGCTCAGACATAGTTTTAAAGTATTTCTTTGGCTACGGAGTATAGGAACTGTGCAGAGGCTCTTTTGTGCTATTGTTTGATGGCAGTTAATCTATTAATTCATCTCTTTTCTAAGTGTCCAGCTGCCATGCCGGTAGGGCTGAATGTCCATGTGTACATGAGCACCTTGCCAGAAATTCACCACTTAAACAAAATACCAGGAGTCTGGAGTAAGAGTTAGCTGCTTTGTATTGTTTATTTCTATGGACTTTTATAAATGCCATAAGTGGCTGTTACTTTGAGATTCAGCCAAGATTACTTTATGGTCAGGCTCTGACCCTCAACGTTTTTCTAACTTAACAGAAGTCATGGGGAACAAGAGAGCAGGGCAGGTTTGTGTAGAGGGAGATTGTAGCCTGGGATATAGATGTATCTTAACTGGTCTTATAAATTTTATCCTCTTTTTCCCTGGAGAAGGTAAAAAGCTGTTTTTTCTCTGTTCAGACCTTAAATTTTCCTTCTCTACAGAAATTTCACTGTTCTGTTACACGTTATATAGGTAAGAATCCTCATAATTTAGCCAGTTGTTATCTCATGAGAGTCATCCTATAATATCACCCTTTATCTGTGCTGCCAGGTTTTTCTCTCTTGAATTTTAAATGTGTTTTAATGTCCTCCATAAAATTCCCAGAACTGCCTTATTTCTGAAGATAAGGGGCATGTCTTTCCAGATGTATAAGCTAAACTTTTTGTTGCTGTTGTTATTTTATAGAGAGATTTGACATTTTCATATTGCTGACTGCTTTCAACCTGTGGGTTTTTTTCCTGTTTCCTTAGTTAGTGACTTAGACAAGACCAGGCTTAATTGCGTATCTTTTCACTGTTGTATCCTCACTGGTTCTGCACACAAGTGTGTATATCTGGTATTATATGCCCGTTATCTTTTATACTGAGATGTTCTAAGGGCTATGACTCCCAAGTTTTGATGATTTATGCTGAGAGTACTTCAAAAGTTTTCTGCCCGCAGCTGACTACCATAACTTTATGCTGGTTATCAAATCTGTGAAAAGGGTAATACAGAGAGCAGTCAGTCTGCTTCCCAGCTGCTGCAGTTGGTAGTATAGTGTGTTATCTTAAATCACCATTGATTTCAGCTTATGTTAATGTCAGGCTGTGACCTCTAGCGGCTCTGAGCTCAGACTCACAATCCTTGCTCCGCTGAGGAAGTTACCAGCACTATAAAGTGGAGATAACTAAACTCTGGGTGCACTCAGGTTAATCCAACAGGAACCATAAATAAAATCGCTAGATTAATTCTCTGTCAGTTACAGGAGAACCTGTCTCTTAAGGGTAGAACAGTTTGCAGTATGCTTTCAGCACTGGCCTGATGAAGCCTGGTGGTTCGTTGCTAACAAGGTATGTTCCAACAAAATTGAAGAGCAGCCTGGGCTCTAATTCACCCAGTGGATCAGCCAATATCAGCCTTAAAGTGCCTCTAAACTGTGGGAGAGCTCCTGTGTCATAGGCAGGTTTAATCTTCAGTCTGTCATTGAGGTAAGAATCTATGTTAAATCCTTCCTTTGGAAAAATCCCTAGAGCCAGTTGTAGGGTCTGGATTCAGTTCTAAATTTCCCAAAGTGGTGAATGTTTGGAACTGCACTCTTTAAGAGGTTCAAGCTCTAAAACAGTGGAGCCATTTAATAAACCTCTCAGCAGATTTACTAACTCAGGCTCTGCACAGTACTGTGTGGCTTCTGGTTCAGAGGTGGTTTTCATCTGGCTGACTCTGATGTGGGCAGAGCTTCTCATCAGCCTGGAAAATACTGTGTAAACATGCCAAGGTCTTAGAGAGTGCTGAATAATGCAATTATAACACACCTCTGCTGTGTTTACAATAAATCCAATTTGTAAATAATCAGATACGGGTTTGTACATGTCATGTTTCTAATTCCGTATCTGGTATTTCACATTTTCTTACTAATCGCTTCAAGCTTCTGAAATGTAAGAAAAGGTACAGATGTAAAAAAGGTAGGCAGGGCTTTACCTTCTCCTTGAATGCTTCCAGCTCTGCATCTGTAATTTTCCATGGAGTCTCTCGCTTTAATTTCTCAGCAGTTGTTATATCTTTGCAGCTTTCATGGAGGCGATATGGTTCAATCATCTCTTCAAAGAATTTCCAGCTGAAACAGGAATTACAAAGGAGGCCTTGCTGCAGGGTATGAACTCACTAACTTATTTCACAGACACTGTATATGGTAGGCACCACTGACTATAACTGCAGCTGAAAACCAGCAAAATCGGTAACTATTCTTTGCTACATTTTGCTCCAAGTTATAGCTGTGCCATTTCAATATGTTGGGATTATTTGAGGATAATTAAAAGGTTATTTGAGGATAATTAAATGCTGCGTTTGGCCTATTATAGTTGCAGATATTTGGCCTATTATAGTTCTACATTTTCCTGGTTGTAGCAAAAATACTGAAATGAACTCTACAGTAACTCCAAACTGTAGTATATTATTTGTTATTAATGTTAACAATGAATATGGGTCTCCTTATAAATACTGAGCTTTTATTATTGTTTTAGCATTAGCTGGAGTGATTGCCTGACTGATACAGTTTTACTGTTACAGTTTTAATGAATTTGAGAAACGGATGATATAAATCTCCTGTGGCAAGGGGCTGAAGGAGATGCTGTAGGGTTTCTTTTGCTATATGGGGGCTCAGATTTGTGTTCGTTTCCCAACTTTTGCACAGATGTTATCTCTAAATTTCAATTTGTTTCTTGAAGCTTTTGACTGTCATCATCTGGAGAAGCTTACCATCCTTCTGTACTTCCCTGCTTGCCCCTTTGTTGAAAGTTTCTATCATCCCATGGAGACCTCAGGGAGTTTCTTTTATATTAATGTAAGTGTATTTCTATGGGCACTTTATGCTGACGGGTCTTACTGTGAAGAGAAACGGGAGGCTGGGCACAGGGTGGACTTGGCTATATAGCCAGGAAGTCAAGAGATGGGTTAAAGGCTGTGACATGCAGCATTTAATGTTGCTGTTGCTAAATTGCCATAGAGTTTGTCAACATTCTTAGTGTCTGTTTCAGTATCTAAAATAGTGATAATTCTCTTATTATTAGAGAAATAAATGGGATGCAAGCTGGGAGAGAGATACAGTGGACTAGCAAGTGTCTGGCAAATGTTCTGTTCAGATAGTGCTGATGTAGCAAAGGTGTTTAGTTTTTACGTTAACGCCAGACACGAATTCTTTTTGATAGCTTTTTTTAATGTAAAATCGCTACATAGTACTAGAAAAAAGAAGTATTCTGCACAGTTCTTTATATAATTAAAAAATATTAACTGAGCAATCAAGAGGGCACTAATAAATGACTTTAGGTATCTAGTAATAAAATCTTTATATTCTTTAATTGCACTTCCTAAGTCAAAATCTGCAATGCACTGTAGAAACACTGGTGAATCTAATATTGTTTTTGCAAAGTTATGGATGTGTGGAGAAACGGGACACAGAAGGATTAAGAGACTAACCTTGAACTCAGAGGAAAGGCTTTGGGTGGAGAAGAGGAGCCCTTTGACTATGAAATAGCTATGGGCCTATCAAGAAGGAAGTAAGGCATGGGATGGAAGAGACCGTAGCAAGCTGAGAATGTTTTCAGAGGATCTTTAAGGCCAAGAGCAATATTGCAAATTTAATTGGGAATCAGTTATTCCCTGAGCAACCTGCTATATACTTTTGTCTACATAAAGGAGAAGAAATAGGCGATTTCTATAGAGATGTATTTTAGAAAGCAAGGACTTGAAGATTTGTTTTGCTTTTTAGCAAATTATTTTTTTAGTTGGAGGTGGAGCTTCCTGAGCGCTGTTTTACCAGCTTCCTAACCTCTGCCTAAGAACATGAATTCTTTAGATAAGTTAATTTTTAAAAACATCAAACCTTCATTATATTTGAGTGATAGGGGAGTATTATAATATTGTCCTCATGGGAAAGGAGAAGTATGCTTAAGTTTGGCCAGAAAAATGTGGAGTTTATGAATTCATGGTAAAACCCAGAAGGCAGAGATTGTGATTTTACAAGAGAACTGTGACTGACTGAATAATATGATGAAGGGAAGTCTATTGCAACCTAAATAGATATGAAAAGCCATCACAAAATGCCTGTTAAATTTACTGGATCATAAGTATGGTGTCTAATTAGTCTTTATTGAAATAGTCTTATCGTTACAACTTAAAGAAAAACACTGCCTATAGTTTTGACCCTTTGAGTTGTGATTGTTAAAAGGTTCTCTTCTTTTTCCTGCTCTAGGTACTTAGAAAATGATTGCAATAAAGTTATTGCATTATTCTTTGGTGTGTTTTGGGTGTTTTGGTTTTTTTAATGCTTAACATAAAAGAAGCTCCTGATAATGGCTGACTGCTAAATAATGGATTTTGCTAATGTTTCTTACCTCTCTTTGTTGGGCTTTATATTGATGTCACAAATGATATTAATATCAGCAAATTTTATTCTGAATTTGCTTAGAAGAGAAGCCATCCTGAAAACAAAAGAGAGAACATTTTATCACTGTATTTTTGAGTGCCTTGCATCAAAGAGCACTCATAAATGAGTTAAGATATCAAATGCAGTTGTCTCGTTATCTTAAATATATGACAAATTACTTTAAATGCTTTAGTGTTTCAGTTTCCAATTACAGAACTGGATTGATGTGATTGCTGTAGTATAATTCATTTAACTGATGATCGATGAAAATCACAAAAAATGGAAATGAACAGCAGACAGAGGGGAGGGTGTTTACACTTTGGGAAAAAATGGTACGTTAAGTATTTGTGAAGGCTTGAATTATGAAGAAAAAATATTCAAAATACAGTAGGACACAATTCTCCAATACTTAGAGAAGGCTTCTGTTATTCTGTTATTGTCAGAATTCTGTGCATGAAGTATGTACAACACTGGTAGTGTATGTGTTGGTGAAGATTTTTGCCAGAAGGTTGATGTGCAATACTTACAGAAACTTTATTTATGAATTTGTATTGATCTACTTGCATGCTGTCTTTACATATTTTCATAGAAGAAAATACTTTGCTTTTCTGCCCCAGTGGCAGAAGGAATAGTTTATAGCTTTGTATGTGTTTGTGCTGAGGTTAGAGAGGTTCAGTTAGGTAAGTTTTGCCTTTGGTTGCAGCATGGTTGGAAACCTGTATCTTTTCCCTGTGTCTCCCCCCTTTCTCTTTTTTGGTGTGTAAGCTTTGGAATTTGAAAAGGTCAGAAAGTTCCTAGGAGCAAACCATGATAGAAATACGTATTTGCTTACGACCTGAGAATTTACTTGTTCTTTTTTTATGTAAGAAGAACATACTAGTTATATAAATCTTGATGTCCCTTGGGACAATCCTTGTTTTGAACACCAAAAAGAGCAAAGTCTCAACTTCTGTGGAAAGGCTTTCTATTGCATTTGGGAATTACATGTTAGCAAAAGTCCAGATAAATTTAATTTCTGAATTGGAAACATAGTGGATGAAACTGTAAATAGCATTCATCTCGCTTGTTTTCCAATGGAGTTTTGGTTGGATGTGTTGATTTTAACTCGCTACGTGGTGCTGCTGCTCTTTGCTAAGCAGTTAATGACTTCCATTGCAAATTGGACTGCTTCCACTGGTCGTGAAATGTCTGTGGCTCTAGTGTGTAAAGTGCTTTGGAAGGAAAGGTCCTATATACAGGGATGATGAAAGTAAGTTTATATTAGTAACTTTGTTTGCTTGAAGGTGAATGATGATTATGAAATCTAGACTTTTTTAAAAAGCTAAGTCAAATCAAGTTGGTCTTAAAGTTGATTAACTTGCTCTTTAACATCTTTACATTTTGCCACGGTTAATCACATTTATGTGAGCTATCTGTCTATGGTATTTGCATGTGAGAAGCTTGATGTGCAGTTTCACTTACTGTTAAGTGGACAATCTCACGTAAATCCCATAAAACTAATTATATTCTCATTTCAGAA